AGATGTTAATTTAGTATCAAAAACGTAAAATATTTGAGTAGCCCGAGAAATAGCCGAAGATTGCAGCGCCACAGCACTGGCGAAAATTTAAATTTGCCGACTGGAATTCTTTCGGATGATTGACTTTCGGAAAATCGACACTCTACTGTATTTATAAATTAAGGTAAATACTTAAAAAGAAAAAATATTAATATTTTTTCAACATGAAAACAAACCAGAATTTTGTGTATTATTACAAAATGATTCTAGCTTATTTAACAGACATGTTTGATCACCTGAACAAGTTAAACTCAAGCATGCGAGGTAGAAATGTAAATATTTTAACATCTGTAGATAAAATTAAAATATGGAAGATAAAAGTAAACGCAAATAATGTAGAAATATTTATTCAAGTTGCCAAAGGAAAATATAATAATACAGATTTGCAAACACTTATTTACAGCCATTTAACGTCGTTAGAAGAAAAAATTAACCATTATTTCCCTGAAATATCAGTTGATTTGTACGATCGGATTCGAAATCTTATTGTAGAGACAACATTAGAAATAAGTAAGTTCAGTCTTGCAGAAGTCGAAGAATTGATTGAAGTATTCAGAAATGAGTCTGAATTCATTTTGGATAACAATTATGAAGGAATATCCCAATATAGGATTCAAAGCACTTATTATTTTATTGCAGTTTTGCACACTGTATCTCTGTGAAGTGGGATTTTCTACACTAGTAAATATTAAAACAAAGAAGAGAGAAAGACTAAAGGCCCTTGAAAATGAGATGAGGGCATGCCTTTCAAAAACACGACCTAATATCAAGGAAATATGCAAACACCATCAGGCGCATACTTCACATTTTATCACCAGATACCTTTATAATAATAACTTTTGTTTCGAATGTTTTTGTGTTGTTTGGAAATAAACTTACTTTAAAAAACTTTTATTTTTTTCAAAGACTTCTCATCCTTCATATCTTTACTAACCGTAAAAAAATAAAATAATAATAATAGGGGTGCCGTGAATTTTGTTTAATAATTTCAGTGTGCCACAAGACAAAAAAGTTTGAGAAACACTGAATTAACTTCTTCATTAAATTTTTCCTTGTTGGATTATTTCTAGAGAATGTGTTAAAAATGGGTTCAATCTTTAAAATCTCTTCTTAAACAGTCTTTATGTTGGGATCAGAAGCGTGATTAATGCTCTACCAGAGACAAGCCGATGGATTCTATCTCTAGAAGTGTAAAACACTAACAGAACAGATATCTGAGCATTTTGATCAGATGCCAAGCAAAGGAAATAAAAAAAATTTAATATCCGTATGCATTGATAATTAATGATGCTCAGCATCTCTGTTTTGTTTCTCGCATGCATCGTTACGAGCGAAAAGTAATTTTTAGCGACTGGTGTATTAGCCGTTAACTGCGAACACTTGTTTTGTAAAAATTGAGAATAATACAATGCGAATAATAATTGTCGCATACAAATTTATTGCGCTTAAGAGAAAAACCCTCGGCATAACCAAAGACTTAAACTTGTGTTATAAATTATCATTTAAAATTATGATATAGTATACTAGCCTAAAAATGCCAAAGATTAAATTGTTTAGCTTTGTTAAACATTGAATCTGATTTCACCAAAGAAATTAATCTTAACTGTACCCCAGCGACGACGAGGTCCAAGGCGCATGCCTAGTGGGTAATCCGCCAATGCTTAAAATATACTTTTTAGTCCCAGCACTACGTACATTCAACCTAATGGGGCCAGTATTGCCCAGCTTATACGAAACCCCCTAAACAGACCCGAAATTTTTCTAAAAACTCAAACAAGTTTCTTCTAAATACGAGGGTGAATCAAATATAAACGGGACTTTTGTTTCTGAGCAACTAAAGTTGGCAGTTCAGGGCCCGAGCGTCTAGTCTGATTGGGTAGGGTCATTAGGAGTGGGGAACGCCTGCCGTTTCATACTTTCAACCAATTCGTCAGTAGTGCTCACGACATCGGAGCAACAGGTACAGTACACCTCTCTGTTGCGCAATGCATAATCATACAATTTCTTGCTCGTGAAGGAGTCAACGTGACAGAAATTTTTCGCAGATTGACTGCACAGTTTGGGGATCAAACACTGTCGAGGACTCGTGTGATTGCCTGGCATAAAAAATCAAGAATCGACGGACACGAGTGGAAAATCAGAAACACGATCGCCGTCCTCGGACCAGCATCACAAGCAAAATCATTCAAGCGGTTCGAGACATTATCGAAGAGGAGAGATAAATTGGAGTTTGCGAAATTGCAGAGAAGGTTGGAATAAGTTACGGAAGCTATCAAGCGATCGAGATGTCATTCTCCCCCACGACAACGCCAGGCCCCATACCGTAGCTCTAACAGTCTCAAAACTTAACGAAATGCACTCGATCATCCTCCCTACAGCCCGTACCTATCACCCTGCAATTTTCATTCGTTCGGGCCGCTTAAAGAAGCCATAGGAGGGCAGCGATTCGAAGACGGTGCAGGGGTGGAGGAATTCGTGCACAATTGGCTCCCGACGCAAACGACTTCGTTCTACGATACTGGAATAAAAAACCTTCCTTCTCGTTGGGAAAAATGTATTTCTATAGCAGGAAGCCATGTAGAAAAATAAATCATAATGTTTTTTTATTTTTAATAAATAATTTTAAAACATAAAATAAATCCCGTTTATATTTGATCTACCCTTGTACTTTCGCCGTAGGTGCAATGCGTATTAATTAAAAAATATTAGTCTTTTGACAATCCAGAGTACCACAAATTTTCACTTTAGGGCGCAGGCCCAGTCGAACAAAAGCATCACCCGACCAAGCGGCCTAGGCCGAAACTGACCGCCAGAAAAGTCACGTGACTCGCGACTGTGTGAAGCCGCTACCCGTTGTCGAAATTCCAACCAATAAGAGAAGACTACATTTCTCTCCCTAAATTTACGGGGTAAACCAATAACAAGTAAGTTAACACGACCGAATGGAGCACGCGGGACAGGTCGATGTTTTAGAATCAAACAAGTGAAAATCATAGATACGTCAGTTTTACGTCACATTTTAAATTTTCATTAAAAAAAAAACGCACACCTCCGAACCTTATAAATGAAATTGCAACATAGTTTAATGCAGAGAAAATACAAAGGGATCTTCGGGTTAAATCTTCAGTTTTAAAACTGAATAGGTTACGTCACGCCGACGTAAAAACCGACGATGCCGCTACCACGAAACCGAAACCGAAACCCAATCGATTACGTTAGTTTGAAAGATTTTAAATTAAACAATTTATTAATACTTATTACCATTTTGCTATTATTAATATTAAATTAGAATACAAATGAATTTCAGATCGGTTTCGTAATTATTTTTTTATAAACGATAAAAATGTAAACGCCAATTAATTTATTCTAAATCCGGTTATATTAACGTAATTATTAATATTTTTACATTTTAAAGCTCGTACGTAAATAATTTCTAGCCTGGAAATTGAAATTTAATTAAACAAACTTACCTCTTTTCGTAGCAGAAGCGATAACGGTCGATAGAACGTCTCTGGAAGCCAACTTATGAAACGAAAGTAAAATATACCGGAAATAAAATCATTTCTCTGACGTCACCGAGTGTTTCTAAATTGGCCAGCAGTTCCATAAACAAACCAATAGCTTAGTCCGTTTCAAACGAAACGGGTTATTCCATTGATTACTTTAGTCCAGCCAGCGGCGGCCTTATCCATTGCGAGGCTCTGGGCGGCAGATCTTTGCCAGGCCCTAGTCCTTTGTGCAAAGTATGTGAATTGAAATAGTAGGCACTTATTAATATTAATATATACTGTACTATAAATTAAATTTATTTTATTGTTATAACTAATAGCCAAGGATAAAATAAAAAGTTTTAAATATCAACTTTTTTCTACTTGGTTGTTGCGCGAGGCCCCGGGCCATTGCCCCGCTCGCCACCCCCTAAGGCCGCCACTGGTCCAGCGACTCCCAAACTTTTTCCATCCGCCGCCCCTTTGTTATATAAAATTATATCCAACTCCCCCAACCCACTTTCCCTGGTGTGAGAAAGGCTTGGAAATATTCTTAGGAAAACCTTTCTATCGACCTCGCGCCGCATTCTTCTCCACCATTAAACGCGAACGGAACCCGTTCGGCCCTCCCGATAATATTTTAAGCGTTGTCCCCCCAAAGTCGAAGGATAAAAACGTAATCGTTATAAATAACCGTCGTCTCCGTCAATAATTTACGAATTAGAAGAAATTTGCCGGTCACTTTACGAGTCTACTTCGTATAGGAGCGGCTTTAATTAGATCGCGACGCAAATAAAGTAGGATTAACAAAATGTATTTCTATTAATCGCCAACGAGGAAATCGGACACGGTAAATCCATATTATAAACACTTTATTCTTTAACGGGCAACGACCGAAATACAAAATTATTCACGAGTAACTATTTTCTGAAAACTCTAAAACACAACGCAAAAATTTAATATATTAAATTCTAGAAATAACCCGTAAAAACACTCTGCAAAGTGTATTTCTCGGGAGGGAAGACGAGCCAAACGTCTTTCCGTATTTGGCACACTCCAACGTCTTCTAAACGGGAGAATTTATGAGAAGGAATGAAACCCTCTTCGGCCACTTCGGAATACATCGCGCGATTGAACGCATCCGTATTTGTAATATACGGGAAGGTGGCGGTGCGAGAACGCTTGACCACCACGTAACTAACGTTTTCCACCGCCATATTACCTTCTTGTTTCTCCGAATGTGCCGTGGACACCGACTGGTTGGTGGCATTTACGACGTTAGAACCCTCGTTATTAGAACTTCCCACGCTTACAGATCGCACGGCGTGGCTCAGAATATCCAAGGACGCCTCGTCGCGTAGAAAATCCTTTCCTATTTCGCTTATCTTAACCTGTCCCGGTGTAAGCTTAACCACGGCGGCCATTACGTCCGGGGCGATAAGAAATCCAATTATAGTGACGTAGAACATTTTTCCCAGTTCGTTTTGCACCTGAAATGAACAAAACCCGTTAAGTTAAATCCCCCGTTAGAGATTGATCTTTGTATATTTATATCTGACCTGGCAGTCCAGGAAATGATGGGAGTTTTCGCATCCGCAATACGTGGATATACAGAATAACTGCGTCTCGTCTTGGTAATTTAAATCTTCGAGCGGAAGAGAAATTGAAATCAATATTTCCTTACAAGTATTTGTGTGTAAAAACTTCTAATCTCTACAATTAATAAGGTTAAACGCGGCGAAATAATAAGAGTTATGCTTTAATACAGCGTAAATGTTTTGAGTACGAGGATTCGATTTCAACTTTAAATTCATACAACGCGTAATTTACACTCGATCGACCGAAAACGGTGCATTAACAATTATTAGTCAAATTAACAGACTATTGATTAATAGGTTATTAGTCCGACGGGTCCAATTCCAGTCAAATGCATACCACAATTCAAGATCTACTAAAGGCCTGCAAATTGTAGGCCTTTAGTAGATCTTTTCTGTGCGGATTAATACTTATATTTATTTATTATTAACTGTATTAAAAGAAGGAAGATCGATAAAGAGCGGGGAATCCTCGAAGGGGATTCCCCGCTCTTTATCTTGTATCCTCCTCTAGTGTTACGGGCCGACCCTTCTCTTCCATCCATTTTTTAAACCGAAACCAAAACCAGGTGTTCCGAACACCCGTTGACAGGAAGGGTGTTCGAGACATTAGCTTTCTGTCGCGCGAGATCCGAACCAATTTCGAAATATCTTGGAAACGGAAATGTACTGTACATCTAACACTCACCGGAAGAAATCCCCAAAGCGCTTTTTCCAGCGGTAATTTCTTTTAGCAAGTTTGTGGATTTGTCGCGTAACCAACGAACGTCGGCGGGACCGAGGAACCAACCCGTATACCACGGTATCACTTCTTCCCATTGTTTCAATCGGGTTTCGAAATATTCGGCGTCCAGTCCTTGTGTATTCGATTTAGCCAGTATCTAGAAACGAGAAAATGATTGCCGCTTTTTTACGTAAATCAAATTGCATTCATCCGATTTAATTATTATTTTATAACGTAAATTATTCTATCTGCGAGGGAATTACTACCGAACTCCTTGTAGTTACAATGCATTCTCACCTAAAGATGCGTACAAACTGTGCCTGAAACATTAATGCCCCACACATAAATATAACTCTGCCAAGTTTCATTATTTTTGGCTCACCCACTCCCGACATATGATGCAAAATAGGCGCCGACACACAATTTTGTACGCGGTTTTTCTGCATTTTTGGACTCTTGTAGTGTCAAAATTTGACCGACGGACACACTTTCTTCGTGTTATATTCTATAACGAACGGGAAAGTAATAGAGAGGTTGCGGCCGAAGTTTTCATCTCTCAAACGTGAACGTCGAACGTCGAGCGCCGCTATCTTGTAAGCGGCGCTCGACGTT